TACCTTCTCCCCACCTCTAAATATGTATTGTCCATCCTAACCACAATGTCTTTTAACACAAAATAGGTATGAACAATCAGGACCTCAATATGCTTATTTATGGATTATATATATATCCCTCCTCCCTGTCTCTAAATATGTATTGTCCATCCTAACCACAAGGTCTGTGGCTATATTCACACTTTAGAGTCAAGGATGGTGAGACTTCATCTCACACTTTGAATATGAAGAGGCCATCATGCTTGGTAAATTAGAGGGGCACTGAAATAGAGGCAGGGACGGGCTGACACAGCGGCTGCGTCAATGGGCTGTGTCTCAGGAACAATTGTGAGGATGGGGCAGTGTTTTGTTCTGTTGTGCACAGAATTGCTATGGGTCAGAACCGACTTGATTGGCAGCTACCAACGACAATATAATCCTGTCTGAGCATGGGTTTTCTTCATCACACCAAGAAGGCATTATTCATGCAGGGTGTGGCTTAAACTGTCTTTCTGAGATATAAAAGAGGTTGGGAAGACAGGTGCACCGCCAATTGGAGCTCGCCAAGGATCCAAGGAGCAGAAGCTGAAAACAAGTGCCTTCCCCCAAGCCCACTCAGAGAGGAAGCCTCTCCTAGAGTGGGCACCCTGGGTCTGGACATTCAGCCTTTAACATGGTGAGAAAATTCATTTCTGTTTCTGACAGCCGCCCACCTGTGGTCTTCCGGTTCTAACCAGCCCAAGTGACTAAGCTCATGAGGCAGCCGTTTGTTTGCACTCTTCCGGTTAGGCCTCGGAGCCTTGGCATGTCTCTGATGAGCAGGCTTCCCCTCCGCGGCAAATGGAAAAACCCTACGCACGCTCCCAGGCCAGGCTTGAATCTCCCTTTCTTCATGATGGCCTCTCCAATTCTCCTCTCCTATTTTCTGGAAATAGTCCTTCCCTGGGCAAGGACTGCTCTTCTCTGAAGACTCTTACGCCTCTAAGAAGCCGAGGCGGCCCTCTTTTCCATTTTGCCACGGCACCTTGTACCTCTGCCGATTCAAGCAAGTATCCTGTTTCCTTGTACTTCCTTTTTAGGCAAATCCACCTGTCCCGCGACAGACAGGGTACCTCCCTCACAGGCAAGGCAGAGCCCCCAGAGTGCAGCTCTGCCTTCTGATGCCTAATCGACAAGACAAATATTTGTCAGACGAAGGAAAGGAGACATACGTGCTGGCTGTCCATACATAAATCATAGGCGGAAATAGGTGTCTGGGTGAGGCTGATGGTTAACACACTCGTTGCTAACAGAAAGGTTTGCAGTTGGAGCCAAAGCAGCGTGGTCTTGGGAGAAAGGCCTGGCAATCCACTACTGAAAGGTCAGCCATGAACTCTGAAGCCCCATGAAGCCCAGGTCCACTCTGACACACATATTCTCATTGCCACCATTCACAATGGAATTTGCCAAGAACTTTTAAAAAGCCATACACATATATTACACACACACACACATACACGCAAAACTCTAAGAGTTGCGCATTTAAAATATAGGTGTCTTCTATTTCCATGTTGATTCCTAATGGTTATAAATTCACCTGTAATGTGGGCATATTTAATACATCGCCCGGGAGACTGGCAATGTGACCACCAGAGGCTCCACAAGAGAACAGGCCTGCTGATCTGCTTCCTATCTATCTATGGCCAAGCTTCTGGAGGCAGCTCTGTGCTGCCGCCGCGCGTGAGAATTGGCTCCGTAGCACCAGACAACCTGGACAAGCTCGCAGGGTAGTCGTGACAGTGGAGGTAGACAATGAGCAGCAGGGTCAGAACTTGGTGCTCTGTCCCGGAGGAATTCTGCTCATGT